CCTGGTGCAAACATATGGAAGGAGTCTGTTCCAGACTGCATTTGTCTTTTGCCAAAGCTCAGACTCTGGCGCAGGATCGGAACGTTGGAAGCAGCGATGGAAGATGAAAACTAGAATCAGGCAGGACACGTTGCAAAAAACCGACCATTGCTTGGTCAGGAAGACTTTAAACTGATTTTCAGGGGAGGGAAAATTTACAGCCCCTAAGAAGACTTCCAGATCGACGACAAAATGAGCAGAAAAAGTTTGCTGGATCAAGATAGATGAAAATTGCAGAAAACAGAAGTTTATACCAATGTTTTGGAGCGATTTTCATTCGGTAATGATTTGAGAAGGGACTGATAATAATTATTATACCCTGACTTTCATGCCTTATTCCATCCGCATAGTTCATAGCGAAATGACTCCGCTAAAGGATACTGATGCTGTTGTTTTAGATACGAATAGGAATCATTTAATCCGTAGGTCATCGAATCGCGTCTTATATTGGCTAAAGCGTATACAATGCAAAAATGAATATCCATGATCACACAAGGTTGTCAAAAACTGGACGACTGTTGACGTCGTGGTTGTCCCACGGACAAACTGAAGCTTGTAAACGTCGCTGAATCTGTAAATCTATTCTGTGTGAATTTTCACGCAAAATGTATGTTTACTGTTATCCTGACGATTTTGCAGATTGTGTCGTAAATAAATGCCATATATTGAACATTGTCCTTGTGCGTCTAACCATGGACCGATATTACGGAGCTGAATTACTGATCACACACAAAGCTGAAAAATGCTTTAAAAACAAAATATTTTTAAAAATATACGCCAATAAATTGTGTGCAGTTCTAAAGTGAAATTCGGTATTTGCTGATGCAAAGCGCAGATGAGAAATGAATAGGGTTTGGAACAGTGGCGAACTTTCCTCTAAGATTTAGCCACCTGCCCCTCATACTCGTTTTCGAATGTTATGCCTACTCCACTGTACAAGATTAAGATCATGACGAGTGCTTCAATTATCAATGGCATTGCTTTACGTTGATTTGCTCAACCTCGAAACAACTCTCTACACAAATGTGATAGAAAGGGGGCGCCATGAACCTCCAGTCTGCAAGATCAGAAAAGAGCGGCATGGCTTTCACTCACGCTGAGTTACCTCTGATCAGATATTTGTCCTACATGAGAGTCGTTGAGAAATCGTGTGGCTCGCTCGTCTGGTTTCAGTGTGCTCTACAGACATTAGGAAAGCTTATGTCTGGATTCCGCACAACTACCTATGACCATTTGCCACGATCCATTGAGTCACTATATGATGATACAGACGCGGCATCAAAGTATTTATGGCGTTAAGTCAAGACCCTCCATGGTTTTGGCAATGGCCTAGGTCAGGGCTACGCTCTGTCCGTTGTACTTTTTTTGCTGTGCGTGAATAGGATAGTTCATCGCAGTAAAGGAGACAAGAGCCTCAGAGTTAGGGATGTAGAGAAGTTTGCTGTTTGCAGACGATCTTGTTTTGTTTGCAACTTATGACATTGAACTGCAGCGCAGTTATGAACGGATTTAAGAAAAATACTCCTTGCCTGCGTGTGCAAGGACGTCTTAAATTGAGGTTCTAGCGCTTTTGCGTTCCCTTGGCTGTTGTGTTCAGAGAACAGATGGAACAGCAACGGAACAAGTGGAAAAATGCACACACCTCAGGGTTACATTTACTGATGATGGAAACTGAGAAAAAGAGAAATCGATTGCCGAATCTGGATGGCTAACGGCATTCTCCGTTAACTATCCCGAACCGTTATGTCTGCAACTACTGCAATCTCGGTTGAAGGGGCTAGCGGCTGAAATGAACTTCCTGAGAATGGCTGTGTTCAGTAGCCTCGACAAGATCTCATATTCAGACTGCCGAAAAAATCGTTGCGTGGAGCCGCATATTTTTCAGAATAAGATATGGTAGCTGCGGTGAGCTAGGCACGTTTAGCAAATGCCTCCAGAAAGGGAGGAGAGACCGATGCTACTGCTCGAGCAATGGATAGTAGACCTTGAAAGAAACCAAGGATGACCTCGACTAAGTGGTTCGGCAGACTCTGCTCCCATTTCAGTTTATCTTCTGTTGAAGCTCAGGCATCAGTGCAGGGTTAAGAGTGTTTGAGACTTTGTCCAACGCTGTTGCCTCCACTACCCGAAAGTTTATGCGACCATCGTAACTGACTGATTCTGACTTCGATTTGTTTCTATCCTTCACACGGGTTTCAACCGTAACGATGTGACCAGTAATGGACTGTACTTGGAACGGTCTTCTACATGCGGTTTAATTAACAGGCCACACTTTTGACTTGCGAGAAATCAATTTATATTAACATGTTAAACGAATTTTGTCCCTGCAGAAGTTCTGCTTAAACGGTTCTACATGTAGTCGCGTCATACTTGGATCCTGATCCAAAATGACCTGCTTTATTCATTGTGGCAAAATAGTCTAGCTTAAATATGTGCATATGTCTTCAATTTTAGTTCACGGATTATCCGCAGCATTCGTCTGGCTCAGTCACGGAAAAAGTGAAGGAACTGGAGCCATTCACCAATCGCCACAAGTGCATTGCAGAAGCGCTCAGTTTATTGTTCATTTAAATTCATTTGTCTAATTATTGAAGCATATCAGACGAATGAATAATAAACGATTTTAGCGATATCGAGTGTCTCTGTGACATTTGGTGTCATTACGGTATTGTTTACCTGCAGATCAATATCGAGTAGCGACTTCGAACGTCGTTGCAAACTGCCAATTTTTCTCCATGACAACCGCCGCAATGAGCGCTTAATGTACAGCGATCCGCTGGTGAATTTCAGCGCTAAGCACAAGAACAACACGCTCTTTACAAGCAAATGTATCCGTTGGGTAAAATCGAGGTAAGCGAATTACAGAAAAGTTTTGCCTACGTATCAAGAAACTTAGGAAATGGATGAGGAAGTGAACAACCCTAAGGTTATACAGAAAGTGAAAGACGATCAAAGGAACTATACGAAGCTAGCGCATCCAGACAAACAAGAAAAATTTGCGGTCAGCACGCTTAATGCCTTTCGAGATGGCGCTGGTAGAGAAGATGCAGAAGGAATTCCTCTTCGTCATTTATAATTTTGGCATTGCAACTTCAGAAATCACCCCTGAAAGCAGTAACTGGTTAATTGAACTTCATTTCCTACAAAGAAACTTTGATATGTGTAAAAGAGAAATAGAAGCGCAGGTAAAAGGCACTAGTGGCCTCTGTGCTTTCGTGTTATTCATCCAAGGTAATCTGCTAGCTTAAGTTCTCTTTGCGCATTCACTGATAAACGCTACATTTAGGTCTCGTCCAGCGATTAGAGGGCAATGTCGAAGGTTCCTTATCCACGTTCGAGATCTGTCATGACTTCCTTCCTCACAAGGCATTGTATTTTAAGGAACTTGCTCGGTCTTGTTTCCTGCTTGGCCAGCACCAGCGCGCAATCACCGTATATGACGAAATTGTAAAACTCATCCCGAATGACTGGGTAATTAAAAACTGAAATCATATGATGTACATTTTAAGTCATATTTTAGAGCGTTCATCATTGCAAGGCACTTTGTTACCAGCGTCTGAAACAGTATGCATCGGTAAGAACGTTTGCTTCTTGAAGTTCTAGAATTTAGTAAGTTGTAGAGGAGGAAGGGGCACTAACGCGGTAGATCATATGGCCTAAACCTGCGGTTTAAAGTTTAATGACAACTTTCGAATCACAATGCGATGTAGAATTTTCACATTGACTGATCCCTTCCCTTGAGCAAGAAATTCACCCCTAGTGATACTGCGCGATGTATAGCAAGTTGCTGCCAGCGAACAATAGGAACGATACGGTGTGCTACAGGTTTCGTTATGTTAGGGCGTCCAAGAAGGACGATCATACAGTATAATGCGTGCACCATATTGTAGTAATCCTTGACCTACTTGATAGTTTAATATAAAGCAGTATGCGTGAAGCTTAAAGTTAATAAATTTAATTTTGATGCGTTTCAATACTTAATATGTTCTTATTATATTATGCTTACTTATGTATATTATGCATATATTACACTTACTTAAATTATACTTCTTATTATACCAGATTGAGAAGTCACAGGTACGATGGTTTTGGCACCTATTACGAATACCTCCAGAAAGGAAGGTGGAACAACCACTACTGCCAACTACTACCCATCCGACCGTCGAAAGACCCAGGGGACGGCATAAATTAACCTTGTGCAAATATATGGAAGGAGTCCGTTCCAGACTCCAGTTGTCTTCCGGCGAAACTCAGACTC